TGGGATTTATTTGGAACCGCCCAGCAAGCAGGCATAGGATTATATATACCCTTAGTAACAAAATTAAGTACTGGAGCAAACCAGTGGGGATAAATTAGGCAGGACCCAGCCTGGCCCTTCCTTACACTTGCCGATGGAGAAGTTTGCTTAGATGAACTGTAGGTCTCCAGCATCTTCACGTGTCCCGTTATTTCCGTTTTACATTTTGACACAGTCTAAGAACAGACCCCCCACCCCAAGAAACACACACGCAAAGGCACAACGGCTTAAGTAACTAGCAGTTATTTATTATTTTTAATGGTGATGCTGATGAAGAGACATAGAGTTTCCTGTGGCTCTAGCTTCCAGCACAAATTACTGGTTATAGCTAGCTTGCAAGAGACCTATACAGTGGTACCTCGGGTTACATACGCTTCAGGTTGCATACGCTTCAGGTTACAGACTCCGCTAACCCGGAAATAGTACCTCGGGTTAAGTACTTTGCTTCAGGATGAGAACATAAATCGCGCTCTGGTGGTGCAGCAGCAGCGGGAGGCCCCATTAGCTAAAGTGGTGCCTCAGGTTAAGAACGGTTTCAGGTTAAGAACGGACCTCTGGAACGAATTAAGTACTTAACCTGAGGTACCACTGTAATTCCTCCTGCTGCCACAGGGACTGTGGGTTCCCCTATATGTAACACACAGGATGGAACTGCTTCATGGTTTTTTTTGGGGGGGGGGATGAAGCACTTCTTCATCCTAAGGCTGATAATAGTTTTCGAATTGTCATTTCCCGTCCAGTCGATTTTAATTTAAAATTCTCTTTGAAGCTGGCAGCATTGTCTGAGGAACACATTAAATTTGGTTGTTTTCACCCTGCGTGTGCTAATGTGGTCCTCTTTTGAGCTTGCAGCTGACGAATTAGCTAATTAAAGCCCTTTATCCCACATGTAAATAGGACAGAGAATCCGCGCTGACATGAACCAAATTACCTTTGGCTCCGAGAATCTCTTTGATCTGGATGCAAGATGCACATCAAACACAAAAACACCATCTAATAATGTTGGTCAGGGAACAAAATCACCATTGTCCTCAAAATTGTGGCATACCACCCCTCATTTACTTAGGCAATCATTATTATTTTCATTATAATTAATCCATAGGCACGAACCTGCAAAATTTGTCCTTGTGGGGGGTGGGAAATGTTATGAGCAGAAGCAATCCCCTCATCATCTACTTCAACACTTACCCAGCTCCCCTTGCAAGAGCCCACTAGGAAACTTTATTCAGTAGTGTTATGCTCCATCCAATTTTATGTTTAGCTCAGCACTGCTCAAGCTGAGGCTTTTGCGTTGCTGCAAGCTTGCTGACTTAGACTTGAGGTTGTCAGCAACAATCTAAATCAGGTTAGAGTCACTGGATTCCAGCCCTGTGTTGCATTCAAGGCTATCCTCTCACCCTTGATATGCCACTAGATCCTGGGCAGGCCCACTGCAACCTTGTCAAAGAACCAGCTGACTTCTACCACTGGTATGCTACTGAATACCAGTTACTGGGGGAGCAAATAAGGAAGCTGGGTATCGTCCTCATCGTGCCCTGACTGCATCCTAAAAGGTAAAGGTACCCCTGCCCGTACGGGCCAGTCTTGACAGACTCTAGGGTTGTGTGCCCATCTCACTCAAGAGGCCGGGGGCCAGCGCTGTCTGGAGACACTTCCGGGTCACGTGGCCAGCGTGACATCACTGCTCTGGCGAGCCAGAGCCGCACACGGAAACGCTGTTTACCTTCCCGCTAGTAAGCGGTCCCTATTTATCTACTTGCACCCGGGAGTGCTTTCGAACTGCTAGGTTGGCAGGCGCTGGGACCGAGCAGCGGGAGCGCACCCCGCCGCGGGGATTCGAACCGCCGACCTTTCGATCGGGAAGCCCTAGGCGCTGAGGCTTTTACCCACAGCGCCACTCGCGTCCCGCCTGCATCCTAGTGGCATCTAACTCGCCATTGTGAGAAGCAAACATCAGATTGTCCGGACAAGGATAAGATAGAAAGCTTCCAGTTATGGGGATCCCTGCAAATGAGACCCCAATGGGGTCAGCTGACAAATTTAACAGTCGAGAGGAAATGTAAATTAATTAAATTATAAGCAATCTGCCAACTGACATACAGCTAAAAGAGCCAGGGTGACATTGTACTATGCTGAATATTCCTTCTGTGCAAGCATTTCAGCATACCAGATGGAACAATCGCCCCTCATGACACCCCCAAGCCAATTTCAGGGGGCACAGGGGGAGAGGGGAGAAGGCTCCATTGCAAGTCCTTGCACAGGGAGCTCCCATTCATCTTCAGATGAATCCCACTGAAGCAGTTACCAAAGTACATATACTGATTTTTATGGAATCAGAAAGGTGGATGGGTTGTTAAGATATAATCTAGTCCAATCCCCTGGTGTTGCAGGAAATCGAGTGCTACAGCACCCCCAGTAATTATATAATTATGGCTGTGGTTTCCATAACTGGGGCCTGTCGCAAGAGCAGAGTATAGATTAAACTAATAAGAATATACACTGCAGACTGAAGGCAAGTTCCCCTGAAATTAAGCGGATGTACCTCAAATTAAAGAGTGTTTCAGATTACAGGTGGTTCCCATTGGGCCTGGAATTCTCAAATGCAGCATTGTTAATTTATCCCAGGCTTTTATGTCTGAATGAAGTTCAAAAGCAGAGCAAGAGATGGACCTGCATATAACCTTACAAGCAAGGAAGAAGAGATGTACATAACACAGGTGGAAACAAAAAGAAGAGAGATAAAATTCGGAGCATTTATTAAGGACTGCTAGAAAATATAGATTCTTACCCTGTGCAAAAATAACAGAACAAATGCAATATTTTATCACACTTGTCAGCTTTCAAATGAGGACAGAGCAGAAGGAGCCATTACAGAGTAAAAAAATGTTATAGTTTCCCCTGTGCAGTGTGGAGATATTAAAAGGTATCTGGTTTTAAGAACTACTCATTCCTTCCCCATGCAAAAGGGGAAGCCTTTTCAGCTTAAAGGCATGTTCCCTTGTGTACAGCCTTTGAGGGGAGGGGTGCCTGCCAGTGGTGTGGTGGGCCAGAGGCAAATCTGGGCGGATCATTGGATGTAGCTCTTACTTTTGTACAGTAGGCTACATCAGGGTTTCCTAAACTTGAGTCTCCCGCAGTTGTTGGACTACAACTCCCATCATCTCTAACTAGCAGGTCAAGGATGATGGGAACTGTAGTCCACAAACAGCTGGAGAGCCAAGTCTGGGAAACACTGGGCTACATTCCAGCCACACACAAGTCAGAGAGGTTCCTCCACCTACTCAGAAAACACTTTACACCTGCTCTCGGAAACCAGCCTGTTGATGACCATTTTCCATCTTATGCCTGACAGCTCAGAGTTCTCAAGTCTTGCTCTTAAGTGGGTGGAAAACTTCACCTGATCAATTTGGGATGAAGCAGAACAGCAAGGCTAGGGAGAGGTTGCAAGCCAACTGTTGTAACATATAAACTTCAACTTGACTATAGGCAGCCTGTGACGAGTTCCCATTGGCTCTCTTATCGCTAATGTTTTCTGTGTGCACTAAGGAGGGAAACCCCTGCTAAAAGTGCCAGGCGTTTCCCTTTGCTTAGCAATGGTTTAAATGCAAATCCCTTCCCGAATCAAGAAGGGGTTTGCATTGAATCCTGCCAAACTGAGCAGGATTTAACCCCTGCGGAGGGGGGAGTTAAATTCTACTCAGTTTGGCTATGCTTTGAAGTCCCCATGTTGGGACTTCAAATAACCTCAGAGGCAGCCAAGTGCTAAATCTTCACTTTAGCAGTGCCTTGCTACCAGTGAGGGGCTTTGAAGCCGAATCCAGACTTCAAAGCCCTGAAATGTCGTTTGTGATGTCAGGTGATTTGGCATTTGGTCAGCCCCACCTGTCAAATTTGGCTTGTGAGGCAGATCCTGATAAGGCTCCAACCCACACTTTGAAGTTTGTTACCACAAGCGGGAGGGACGCGGGTGGCGCTGTGGGTTAAACCACAGAGCCTAGGACTTGCCGATCAGAAGGTCGGCGGTTTGAATCCCCGCGACGGGGTGAGCTCCCGTTGCTCAGTCCCAGCTCCTGCCAACCTAGCAGTTTGAAAGCACATCAAAGTGCAAGTAGATAAATAGGTACCGCTCCGGCGGGAAGGTAAACGGCGTTTCCGTGCGCTGCTCTGGTTTTCCAGAAGCGGCTTAGTCATGCTGGCCACGTGACCTGGAAGCTGTACGCCAGCTCCCTCGGCCAATAAAGCGAGATGAGCGCTGCAACCCCAGAGTCGGTCACGACTGGACCTAATGGTCAGGGGTCCCTTTACCTTTACCACAAGCAGGGGTGACAGAACAGGCACTCACCAGCTCCTTGCAGTCTTGAATAGCCAATTTGCCTTCCAAACCAACAGGTGTCACCCTCCTCTCTTGGGCTGACTGGGACTTACCCAGGAAGCGCTTTGTGCACAGTGCCAGGGATGGAGAACCTGTGGTCCTCCAGATGTGGCTGAACTCCAACTCCCATCAGCCCCTGCCAGCTTGGCCAATGGTGAGGGATGATGGGAGTTGAAACCCAGCAACATGGGAGATCCCTGGTGTACATGCATATCCTGATTTTCTGGCTGTAACCCAGCACCATTTGAATCATGTTGTAGTTCCAAACCAACCACCCCATTGTCTTGCTTTGTTAAAGAGTTAACAGGACCTGGAGCTATGGAAGAGAATCTCCTGGAGCCATACGGTGAGATGAAGGCACCTGGACAGGATTCAACCCATTAAATCCTCTTGCCTGCCCCACCCCATATGCAATCCTACAGCACTAGTGGAAGGGAGGAGGTGAAGGAATCCCTTAGCATTTTTGTACACTGCCTCAAACAGGTCATCATGGAAACTCTAGGCAAAGTAGAAAAAACGAATGAGATGAATACATTTTCCACCATGGCCAGCAGAGGGAAGCAGCAAATTAAAACAAGGACAAAAACCCTGAATAGATACAGAAGTCCTTTATAGTGTGATGAAAGCTTTTCCTAACCCCTCTAAACCGGATTCTTGAAGCTTGGCAAGTGTTGTAAAGGGGGGGGGGAATGCTTACAAGCTAGTAGGCAGAGTTTCCAGTCTCGAATGTGATTAATTTCCCCAAAGCTCTCCAAATCCGGCCTCCAATTACCACTTCAGATACTTGGGGAGGGCAGGTCGGAGACTCACCCAAATCCATCCATAGCAAAGTTTTCCATCCCCACCCTGAAACGTCAGAGCAAGAACTGGCAGAAAATGCTGGAGTACCAAGAGTACAGTGAGTGTCACGTAAACTCACAAATCTACAATGGAAAAATCTCTCCAGGCACTTCTTGTGGCAGGTGCTGGCAGTGCCCTGAACAGGCACAGGTTGCAAAAAGGAAAGAGGTGCAGCTATGATGTCCTGATCTGATGAGAAGGATCAGCAATGGCGGTGGGGGGGACGGGACACACCTAATTTTGGACGGGGTGGGTGGTGGTACACACTGAAACGCACAGCACTGGCTCCCAGTCCATTTCCAGACACAGTTCAAAAGCACTGGTGCTTCTTGGCGGTGTCCTGCCTGCGGAACGGGTCTCACCAGAGAGGCTCATCTGGCATCTACATTACAATATTTTGGGCAGCAAGTTAAAAAAGCTTTAATGTTTTCCCAGGGCTTTTTTTTTCTTTTTCAAAAAGTGGGTCTTAAAAAAAGTCCTGAAATTAAATTGAATGTTACACTGTTTTCCCTATGACTGTTTTCCTGCAAGTTTGTGATGTTATTTTAATGCTACATGGCTAACACCTCCCCCCCCAAAAAAATACACTAACACACACACATGTATAGAGAAGGCACAAAGTGTTCATGGGAGGAGATAAATGCCCATGGAGAAAGCCAATTCCTTGGACACACACACACATAAATCTAAGCTCCCCATATGACCAGGTGCAATCTGCCCTACAACTACTGTTGCAGGAAACCCAAAGCATTCAAATTTAGTTTTGGTGTACACACAAACACACAATGCCTCTGTTTTGTATGCTGTTTTCCTAAACCTGAATTCCCATATGTGAGCAAACTACCTTTATTCCCAATCTCATTCTTATGTGCAAGCAGAGTAGCCATTCTCTCTGCGTTTTTAGTCCTGCCAGGACAGGAGTTAAGTATTTCACAAAAGCGATTGTCAGACCCCTTTCCTTACAGATAGAAAACTGTGCTAGATGGCTGGACGCAAAGGGCTCCTGTAACGTGTAAACAGCTGCTGAAATCGCCTCGTCGAAAGAGTCGAGATTTCTGTCCTCCTTTTTCACCCACGACCGTGTCTTCTGAGCAGGGGTGGGAAATGAGGGAACAGCTCTTGTAATGGTGGCAAGAACAACGAGAAAGCAATCCTGAGGAGGAGGAGGAGCAGAGCGCAGGAGATAACGAAGGAAACTCAGTGAAGGTTGTGCGCATTCGCCTCTCGAGAAACAAACCCACAAGGAATTCTAAAGGGCAGCAGAAGGGCTTCCTTAAAAGACAGAGAGATTAGAGAAGAGGTAGTAAAAGGGCCTTCATCCATCTCGAACGGGGCTTGCCAAGGTGGTGACCTTCAGGTGTTGTTGGGCTACAACTGCTTTCAGTCCCAGCCAGCAAAGTGGATGGTCAGGAATGATGGAAGCTGTAGCTCAGTGGTAGCTGCAGAGTGTCAACAAATGCTCTTCTCCAAGAGGATGTAGGCAAACGTACTCTCAGAAGAAAGAAGGAGCAGAACAACCGCAATCCAAGACCCTTTCTTTATTTCAGGCAATGAGGCACGACTCAGCCTCTTACTCCTCGCCCACGCTGACGTGGACCCGATGCCACGCGCTGTTGAGCACTCCCAAAATGTTCCAGATGGGCGCCACTGTGTTGGGCTGGTCGTTGTAGCTGGCATCCACAGCCTTGCAGACAATGTCCATCTCTTTGGTGCCTTCGGGCACGCAGGCGTCCAGCTGCCACAGCTGCCACGCCCAGGCTCGACCAGGCAGCTGCTCCTTCCCGGTGAGCTTGGCCATGTGCCAGCTCTTCCCACCATCCAGCGAAACATCGACGCGGATCACCCTTCGCCCCCCTCCGCTCCAAGCGTACCCCTTCACCGTGAGCTCCCCGGGGCAGACGCAGGCTCCCGGGCCCGGCTCGGTGATTGCCGACTGCACGGGCATATCTTGGATGGCAGGGGCGCTGGAGAAGTCCACGTTGTCCCACGTCACGGAAGGGGAGAATCCTTTGTAGTCCTTCTGCTGCCAGTGGCTCTGGCTTTCCTCCGGGCCCACCGTGATCTGGGCCAGCCACTTGACGTTACGCGCGCCGACTATCCCCGGCGCAATGACTCGGAGGGGGAAGCCGTTGTCCCGGGGCAGCTCCTCCCCGTTCATCTCATAAGCCAAGAGGACGTCCCCGTCGGGACTCATGGCCTTCTTGAAAGGGATGGAGGCCCCGTAAACGGTGCCGCTCTGATCCTTGTCCAGTCCCTCAAAACAGACGTGCCCCTTGTCGCCGGGTTTGTACCCGGCTTCCGCCAGGACATCCCGAAGCAGGGCCCCACCCCAGCGCGCGTTACTTATGGCCCCGACGCCCCAGCCCAGCCGGTTGGTGTTCTTGATCGCGTTCATCTCGGCCCGGCGATTGCCGGCGCATTGCAGGGTAGCGGTCACCTCGTGCTTGGGGAACCTCCTCTTCAGGTCCTGCAGGGATAGGGACATCGTCCGCCCGCCGGAACTCTGTACTTGCAGCCGGTAGGTGGCGGGGTCCACCACGGGCACGGGGAAGTGGTTGCGCTTGAAGAAGAGCGCGTTGGGAGTCAGGTAGTTCTCAGCAATCAGCTCCGGGGGAGTCTCTGCATTGAAGGGCTTCAAGGTGTTGATCCGCAGGGCGGGGTGCCGCTGAGGATCCTCAGCGTATGGGTCTCCCGGGGTTGGCTGCGGAGGCTCCTCGGGGCTCAGCTCCCCCACTTTGTACCCGCGGAGGATCTCCAGCACGTGTTCCTGCTTGTGCATGGCGTAGAGGGCCCAGAACGGTTCCAGAGCGCCCCCCGCCGCCAGGAGGATCTTACTTTTGCCTCCAGGATGCGCCTCTACGAAGTCTGTGATGTCAAAAACGTCGCTGCCGTAGGTCACCCACACCCGACTCGCTTGGCTGTTGTGGCGAGCCACCTCCTTCCGGGTAAAGACCGGAAATGGGGGTCCAGCTGCGGGCGCTGGGGTCTCCGGCTCAGCTGCCTGTAAGGAAGCAAGAGGGGAAAGCCATTAAGAAAGGAGAAACGAGGGGCTCTTTGCAGTCCTTAGCACTCTTCTGCCGTGATCAAAGAGCCCCACTTATTGACACGAGAAACCTGCCAAACCACAGTTGAACTATGGAGTTTGTTTCCTTTTCTTAAGCAGTTTTTAATTGGTTTTTAAATAAAAACAAACACAATCACCACGAAACAGCAGTACATCTAAGAGTGTGTGTTTTATCCATTGTCTCTAGACATACACTTACACATTCAAACATATTACTTAAAGTAGCCCCCCCACTGAGAATATTGAGCAGTTAGTATAAGAAGGTCTTGATTTTGGTCATTAACATTGTTAAAGAAAGGGGTCCACGTTTCTCGGGAGGCGTCTCTATTTGTTAAGCCTTTAACAACGCCTCCTGGGTCTGGTGAGACACTCAGACATTGCTATATCCAGGAGTTTGTTTTCATAAGGCCTATTGATGGTCATTAACTTCCATGACTTTCAAAGAGGATGAGATAAATTAATGAAGGATCAATGGACTACAAGCTATAATGGCTACATTATATCTCCACTGTTGGAGGCAATAAGCCCAGGAACTTGCAAGTTTAAGTTCAGGCACAGTGCCAAGAATTTTTTATTTTATTTTTTGTACAACAGCCCAGCTCTCAACGTTTAGCTCTTCTTTTCTTCACATCCCACTGTCGGCATGCAGAGGGGTCACAAGGCTAGCTGGCTAGCCCCAGCTGGGTCGTCTCCTTCCAGCCGTCCTGCTGCGAAGACCCATCGGCCTCTGCTCCGACATCCATCAGCGACCCAGGCTTCAAAGCCAGGGCACACCATATCAGCAGAGCGAACTGCGCACACAGAATAGGCGTGAAGCTTGTGGAAGCATACTACAACTACGGATTTATTAATCATAAATCAGGACAAAGAAACTTGTTGTCTCTCCCTTTGTCTTCTCTGAGAGACAGGGAAAGAGCAAAAGCTATACATGCAACGGAAGTTCCCAGCAAGCTGTGCTGGTATGTAAACAGACACGTGACATGCAACAGTTCCATGTCTGCAACTAAAGGTGGAATGGAATTTTCCAACACCCACTACACATCCCACTTCCCCAAGCGGCCCCACTCACCCGCCGACGGTGATCTCCATAAGCCAAGATGGTGCCTAGGCCCAGCCCGGCCCCTGCTGCTACCATGACCCTGCGCCTTGTGCTGCCAGCATCGTTCCAAGTGCCATGGTTGCGGGAGGTTGTCCAAGCCATGCAGGCTGGAGGGTGGAGCCTCCAAGGCATCTCTCTCAACCTGTAACCAAAGCAGACCAAAACCTTAGAAGAGAAGATATCTACAGCATATACTTCGGACGTGTTAAAAAACACTGTTCTATGATTCTGAAGTTTTATGCAGTGTCATTACCTGCAGGCTTAAGAGACATACAGGAAAAGGACACGGGAAGAAAATGCAGAAATAAGTTGCAGAGCGGGACAGAGAAGGAAAAGAGATAATTTGCTATGGCGGCACAGGGTCTGTCTTGCAGGATCCCAACAACATAATCAAAGGAATCTGTACCTTCCCTTAAGAGCAACCTTGCCTGACAAATGCAATATTCCCCACCTCACACACAGGGAGGGAACTTAAGAAGAAGGAGGAGGAGGAGGAGGAGGAGGAGGAGATGATGATGATGATGATGATGATTTATTACTTATATCCCGCCCATCTGGCCGGGCCTCTCCAGCCACTCTGGGCGGCTTCCAACAGGATATTAAAAAGATCAAACATTAAAAACTTCCCTAAACTTCCCTAAAGAAAGACTGTGGGCAAGTAACCTAGAAAATGTTTGCCAAAGCAGAAAGGAAAATGAGTGCAGTTTGTTCTGCTTCCAGGCTGCCATTCTTAACTCCTTGGCAAAGGTGCCTTTCTCTTTTTCTCTTTTTTTAAAAAAGAGTGTGTGCCTGCAATTGCAACATGCAGCATGCAGCGTGTTATCTGGCAAATTCCAGACCTGACATATAAAATAAGGAAGCTTTCTAGAGCCTTATGGTAATCGTTTATAAAAACAGGCCTGCCACTTCTCTTAAAAGAATCAGAACAGGATGGCGATTCCTGTGGGGCAGATTATCAGCACCCTGCAAAGCTACCTGATCATTGTCCTCACCTGCTACCCTCACAGAAACTGCAGCATTCATATACTTCCCAAATTCGCCTCCTTTACCCCCCCCCAACAATTCATTAGGCAGGTACCCTCGCCACCATGTTTTAGATGCTTGCTGATTTTTTCATTATGGCAAGCCTACCCAGACATATCATTTAGCTATGTATTTTTTGCTTCAAACAGTTTTTCTGATTCTATAGTCTATAAGAATCTATATTCTGATTCTATGTGTGTTTTACTGATAATATTGTGTGTACAACCTAGGAAATTCTATAATTAAGCAGCCTAAACATTTTTCTCAATACAGTGGTGCCCCGCAAGACAAATGCCTCGCAAGACGAAAAACTCGCTAGACGAAAGGGTTTTCCGTTTTTTGAGTCGTTCCGCAAGACGAATTTCCCTATGGGCTTGCTTCGCAAGACGAAACGTCTTGCGAGTTTGTTTCCTTTTTCTTAAAGCCGCTAAGCCGTTAATAGCCGCTAAGCCGCTAATAGCCGTGCTTTGCAAGACGAAAAAACCGCAAGACGAAGAGACTCGCGGAACGGATTAATTTCGTCTTGCGAGGCACCACTGGAGAAATAAATCCCAAGGGTTGTCCTCATTGTAGTGCTAAGCAAAACGTTCTGTCCAGAAGAAGAATTTGGAACATTCTCCACCTCTTCTTCCTCTGCGCACCCCCTAAATCTGATCTGGGGGTTCCCCCCTAACCCTCTGTAGCAGGTTTGGTGATGGCAGGAGGGGGACAGAGTGGGGAGAAGGTAGAAATCCCATTGTGCTACAGCTAATCCATGCGCCAGCACAACTATTTAGCTGAATATCATCACACATTTTGAATTCACAGACTTTCAAAAAAAAATCCTAAAAACCCCCCAAAAAACCACACACACCCCAACCTGTGAGATTGAGATAATTACATTTTTTTTGCTGGGATTTCTAGACACCAAGAGCATAGGTAGCCTATTTCCACTCAGGTCAACCGATGATTAATCTTTAACTCCTGCCTCCACTCAAGGCAAGGTAGAGGGAATTATAAACCTAATAAAAGGAGTCTCCCTACCTAGATCCTTTGCCTAGGATCACAGAAGCAGAAGTTACATTGAAAGGGAAGTGATGCACTTGGAGATAAGATTAGAGTCCATATACAACTGGGTAAGGAGCCAAAACAAATACTCTGGAAAGGCTCTTTAGGAAAGTTCAGGTAAGGTCTTTTCGCAAGGTCTTTTTGCTTCCTTTTAGGCCACAGGAGCAATACTGCCTGCTGGAAAGGAAGAGACTTGGTAGGATGTGACTGGATGGGGGATTTAAATTGCCAATGTGAGTGGAAATTATAGAGTAGAGTTAGAGTGGGAGGAATAGCAAAAAGGCCTTAACTTGAAATGAACTTTTATTAGTAAAAATACAGCAATTTTTATTACAGAAGCCTTTTCTCCCTGTGTGTGTTGGAAACTTGGTTTCCCCTTTCAACCTCCCTGCTTTTCTTTGGGACCAAGAAACAATCTGAGGGAGGAATGTCAGCCATGAAATTTTATTTCCTAAGAAACTCAACAACTTTCCACACTAGAGCTTTTCCTACTCTATTGTCTCTAAGCCTTCCTTACCCTAGAGAAGAGCCCTGTGCACTTAGGCGCTTGCCCTCTTTATTTGCCAAGATGACGATTGTTCCAATAAAAACAGTATTGTTTTTTATTTACTTTCGCAATTTTTTGGCCTGACTCATTTGCCAAAAACCCCACAGGCAGCAGCTTTTTGAGTCCATGTCAGGATTTTGAGAGGTCAGAACAGAAGGGAAGATGTCCGCCTTGGATAGCAAGTTAAAGATCAAAATGTCCTTTCCCAAGAAACACAAGAGTTGATGTAAATAGTCCATGCCCCTTACCAGTGTGTTCTGTGAAGGATGCAGAAGCCATTCCTGCTGGGTTTGGACAGCAGCATCTTCCCAATACCTACATACAACAGGAAACGTCAGACAGGATTTGCACCAGACAACACAAGTCCTAGAGCTGCCCATCAGCTGGAAATTCATTTGTCACAGGGACAGTCGGGCTTCAGTTGTCTATGCTCTGATACTCCAAGTTAGACTATTGCAAGGTATTGCGCCGCCTTTGAAGATGCAGAGCTAGTGCAGAATGCAGTGGTTGGATTATTAACTGAGATAAGAAAGTGTAAACTCGCTTTCAACATTTTAAACATTATTGAAGCAACCAGAGTCTTTACTTCACTTCCACTGAACTGTATTTACCTCTCTCTTAATAAAGGTAAAGGGACCCCTGACCATTAGGTCCAGTTGTGACCGACTCTGGGGTTGCAGCGCTCATGTCGCTTTATTGGCCGAGGGAGCCGGTGTACAGCTTCCGGGTCATGTGGCCAGCATGACTAAGCCGCTTCTGGTGAACCAGAGAAGCGCACGGAAACGCTGTTTTCCCGCCAGAGCGGTACCTATCTATCTACTTGCACTGGTGTGCTTCCTAACTGCTAGGTTGAAAGGAGCAGGGACCGAGCAACGGGAGCTCACCCCGTCGTGGGGATTCAAACAGCCGACCTTCTGATCGGCAAGTCCTAGGCTCTGTGGTTTAAGCCACAGCGCCACCCGCGTCCCTCTCTCTTAATAGATTCTTATTAATTAAAAGGTATGTGCAGCCCAACCCATGTTTACTCAGAAGTGAGTGCCATCAAGCCCAAGGGAATTTACTTCTATGAAAATATGTATATAATTACAGTGTTCTGCATTATTTCAGCTTTGCTCTACATGTTCCTAGTTTCCTTCATGCTAATCATCAACAGGCTTCCTACTTGCAATATTGGAGACCCGTTTCGCTCCTTATATTTGTGGTTCTAAAACGTACAGCTTGTGTTGTAGCCATTTAATTCCACATCAGCCAAGAGAGGCAGGAAAACACCCCCAAGGTAGCAAAATGGCTTCTTGGAGACCAGCTAAAAATGCCGACCTTAATTTAAAGTTTTAATAAAATGCATACAGAATACATGGTATTATCAGTTATTATTTACTTACTCGGCTGGATGAAAACAAAATCTAATTATTAACAAGGAAATGAGAGAATGTAATTTGAGGCTCATTCTTAATTTGCCCGCTTGTCCTGGCGAGACCTGGTTAGCATGACATTTCCCTTACATACTTTATTTTATTTTACTCTTGTATTGGTTCTGGCTGTGTCCTAACAGCCTGAAATACGTAAGTTAACACAGGTTAATGTTTTCCCATCGTTTTATCACCACTTGCTACATGTCAGGCTGCTGTAAAAAGCAGTCTATTAAAAGGGAAGTCAGCAAGCTGATAGTGGGACCAACACCTTGCCCTGCAATAAATATTCTCAAGAGATAACCTTTCCTAGAAAATGAATTTAAAAAACTAGGTGAAAAGTGATCAGACTACTACTTTTTATATGTGCACCCAGAGCCGGATTTAGGTTTGATGAGGCCCTAAGCTACTGAAGGTAATGGGGCCCTTTATATATCCAGCTGTCCTTTGTCAACAACAAATTGTCGCTGTTTTTTGTGTTGAATATATGCTATATGGCAATTTATGGACCTAATAGGTATCTAAAGCCATTTGCACATAACAAATAGGAGCCTACACAACACAAAACACTGTTGCTGTATGTAGGTTTCATTTTATTTATTTTTAACTTATATTTTGGAAATGTACATCCAGGGTTTTTTCCCTTTAAATTTTTTGGGGGCCCGCAAGAGAGTGGGGCCCTAAGCTATAGCTTGTTTAGCTTATACGTAAATCTGGCACTGCACCATATCCAAGCTGTGCAATACAGAAGTAGATAAAGGTAAAGGGACCCCTGACCGTTAGGTCCAGTCATGACCGACTCTGGGGTTGCGGCGCTCATCTCGCTTTATTGGCCGAGGGAACAGGCGTACAGCTTCCAGGTCACGTGGCCAGCATGACTAAGCTGCTTCTGGCTAACCAGAGCAGCGCACGGAAATGTCGTTTACCTTCCCGCTGGAGCGGTACCTATTTATCTACTTGCACTTTGATGTGCTTTTGAACTGCTAGGTTGGCAGGAGCAGGGACCGAGCAACGGGAGCTCACCCCGTCGCAGGGATTCAAACCGCCAACTTTCTGATCGGCAAGTCCTAGGCTCTGTGGTTTAACCCACAGTGCCACCCGCGTCCCACAGAGAAGTAGATAGATGGATATAATAACCCCACAGGCTTTTAAGAACAATCCCCACATACAAAGGTCTCCTAGGAAGCTCCACGAAAAGCTGCTACAGCACACAGAAGTCGCCAGAGGTTCTCACTCGGATTTAGGAAACAGCCTCTCTGTACAAAATGCTGAAGGATAAACGCTTCTGAGAGGCTGGAGAAAAAAGGCCCAGGGCCAGCAAGACACATCCACAGAAAAAGAGCAGTGACAGACATCTGACTCTAAGGAACCATAACGGGCTACCTTCCAGATCCTTTTTAAAAAATGGAATATTATTGTGAAGAGGAACATTTCGTTTAAACTGGCAACCCTATTAATAACGCTGATAATGGACATATATTTGGTCTTTTGCCAGTCTGCTGAAGTGCGTTGCGCTCAGGGGTGCCAACCTGAATATAATTTTGGGGGACGGGACGGGGGGGGTTAAAAGGCAAGTAAGCCCCTCCCTGCATAATCGATCGCATGACATGGCACATTTGAATGGGAGTTCCCCATAACTTGGGGGGTGTCCCCTTCAAATATTTTATAGGGGTGAAGGCGAAGGGACCTCCTGGGAGTTGGATCTACTTTCCCACGCACATCGTCGTAAAAAACAGCAGCCCCCATAAGAGGCAGGGGACGCGTCAGCACAACCCCCCCCCTCAAAAAAACCACAGGTGCCACTCAAAGCCAGGCTCTTCCCTCCCCCCTCCTTTCGCCCCACTTCACCCCCCAGGGCATCCTTGCCCATGTGGATTCCTTTCCCTCCCACCTTCAAGTCAGGCCGGTCCTCCCGGGAAAGGTCCGTCTCCGTGACGCAGCGGCGGCCGAGCGTTGTTCTCCTTTAAGAGGAGGAGGAGGAGGAGGAGGTGGGATCGATCCGGGGGGGGGCAGCGACGACAGAAAACGAAAGTCCTCGCCCACCGAAGCAGGAGAGATTTAAAGGGCCCGCGGCCCCAAAAAGAGCTGCCGCCTCGGACACGGAATCCCCCGCGGCGACCTGAGTTGCGCCCCGCAGACAAGAGCTCCAGCTGGCCGACGTGGCCCGCCTGGAAGATGCTCCCGTGAGCCGCGTGGAGTTTTCTGTTGCGCAGGTGCTGCGCCCCCTTGGCTCCGCCCTCGCGGCTCGGCAAGCGGAGGAAGAGGCCGCCCTCCTGCCCAAAATGAAGCCCAAGGCCGGGCAAGCGGGCGCCGGCGGGGAGAAACAGTATTCTTCCATCTCCAACCCCCGTTTGCGATTCTCAGCGTCCCTGGCTGGCGTCCCAGGTTCTTTTTAAAAAATAAAAATAAAATAAAAACATCTTTATTGGAAGTTTAAAAAGTACATAATTATATGTGCACTATAGAAGTACATAATTATATGTGAGGCGTAAATAAAAGAGAGAAATGAAATAGAAAAACAACCCGTGTAGAAGGAAAAATAAGGGCCCCCCGAAACTGTATACTTTACAAGATCGTTATTGTACTTCACCAGATCAACCTATTACAGTATTTGTACAGATCCTGAAGCTGAGGCTCCAATACTTTGGCCACCTCATGAGAAGAGAAGACTCCCTGGAAAAGACCCTGATGTTGGGAAAGATGGAGGGCACAAGGAGAAGGGGACGACTGAGGACGAGATGGTTGGACAGTGTCCTCCTGATCGGCAAGTCCTAGGCTCTGTGGTTTAACCCACAGTGCCACCCACGTCCCACAACAACCCATGTACTGCATAATAAACATATGCACCTCTGTCATGTTCACTCCTTAGTTGTTTTCCCCCAACTATGAAAATTTCTAAAAATCCCAAATGTCATAACCTTTAGTCATAGGGAAGTTGTGCCATCTCTGTTGTGCCATCTAGTTTGCCCTTTATAAACCCTTTCCTGCTCTGCAATGTCTTTTTTTTTTTTTTTAGGTGAGGTGACCAGAACAGCACACAGTATCCCAAGTGTGATTGCACCATAGATTTGTATAACAGCATTGTGCCAGGTATGAGGAAGTTGTGACCTGGCAGATGGAGGGCTCCCAACTCCCAGTAAATGGTTAGGGATGATGGGAGTTGAAGTTCAGCAGCTGGAGAACCCTGGCTTCCCCAACCCTGTTAAATTCTTGGTAATTTTAGCTTTAAATTTACCAGTTTTCCCAGATCAGATATTAACCTAGGTAAAGGTAAAGGGACCCCTGACCATTAGGTCCAGTCGTGACCGACTCGGGTTTGCGGTGCTCATCTCGCTTTATTGGCCGAGGGATCCGGCGTACAGCTTCCAGGTCATGTGGCCAGCATGATTAAGCCGCTTCTGGCGAACCAGAGCAGCGCACGAAAACGCCATTTACCTTCCCGCCGGAGCGGTACCTATTTATCTACTTGCCCTTTGATGTGCTTTTGAACTGCTAGGTGGTCAGGAACAGGGACTGAGCAACGGGAGCTCACCCCCTCATGGGGATTCAAACCACTGACCTTCTGATCAGCAAGTTCTAGGCTCTGTGGTTTAACCCACAACGCCACCGGCGTCCCGATATTAACCCTAAGTTTTGCTCCGATTTTAAAACTGACCACTTTCTAGTCCTTGATGCGGAGGCTGATCTTAGGGACAAGCTGAATATTTTTGTTATAAGATCAACAATGTTCTTTAAGAATATTTGGGTGGATGCCTTCCAGAACATACAGATCTGTCAGTTTTAAAATTGTCAGTAGGTGTTAGAATTTTTATTGCGTAAGTTCCTCATTCTTTCCTGAGGAACTAATTTAGTTACAGGGATCTGCCTCACTCTTTCCACTGTGAAGATATATGCAATTAATTAATTAAGCATTGCCAGTTTTCAAGTTGTCATTATAAGTCTGCTAACTTGGTATCTTATCACCATTAGTTTCGTCAGTTCCTCAGACTTTGTTTTTCCTGAGGACGCTACTTTACATACAGGAACCTGCGCTACACCTCCCTCTGAGGAGACATATGCAAAGTTCTGCAATATTCATTTCCTCCTTTAGCATCCTTCTTCTGACTTCCTTGTCTTTGAAAGGTCCAGCCACCTCCCTGGCTGCTCATCTGCTTCTAATGCAATTATTTTGTTGTTGTTCTTCAGCTAAATACTTACTTACACATTCTGCATCCCTTATAGTCTTCTTGGATTTCTTTTGCCAACATTTCTTCCTTTTGGTCTCTTCCTGCCTTTAATAGCTTTAATGACTCTGCTCATTAAACACACAGGGATCCTCTTAGGCCTAGTGGGATTTTTTCTGATTTGCAGTAAATATTCTAGCTAAACTTCTATTATTATGGTTTTGAACAACCCCCAAGCATTTTGGAGAGATTTGACTCTCTTGACTTTCCACTTCAACTTCTTTTTTACCTCATTTTTGGCAAGTTTTTTCTTTGGCAGTCAAATGTGACTCGGTGGGACTTTGTTGGCAATTGCCCATCTACATCTATGTTGGATTTAATAGTACTATGGTCGCTGTTTCCAATTCAGTTACACTCATATCTCTTACCAGGTCCTGTGCTTAATATTAAGTCATCTCCCCTCTTGTTGGTTATGTGACCAACTGTTCTAGTACACAGTCATTTAGGGCATCTAGAAATTTTGCCTTTTTGTCATGACTGGAATATGCATATGCTTTGTCTATGCGAAGCAGTGTTAGAAACTGAAATATGAAAGCTAGGAGCTAAATGGCATCTTAAACCCAGGTTGTGGGTGCAACAACAAAATGTCTAGGCGCTTTTTTTTTTAATAACAAGAATACAAAGCTGAAAATAAATGAACTGCAGCTAAAACCTTACCTTCATTTTTCACATGGTCTAGTATCCTTTCCCTGCCCATCCCCTTAATATCCTTAAGAGGGTCTCTTCCCCAGTCTTCAGAGAGTAGCTGGAAGTGGGGAGGCAGAAAAAGGTCCTCCTTTCCATCCACTCCGCAGTTTTAATCTGAAATCTCAGGTGCGGTACCATGCCCAGAGCTCAAAAAACAGCTTGCACTAATGAAACCCCCTGTCGCAAAATGCACCTAGAACTGTTATGTACTGAATTTCTCACCCTGGGCCAGCAGGGGGATACTGTGGATAGTTTTCACTCAGGTCCACATATGCAAATAAGGGATTGAAAGTGACGTTCAGTGATTGGATAGTTACAGAAAGTGTTACAGTTGCGTTGTAGTGGAGCTCTATATAAGCAGGCTGGCTGAACCCTTCAGTTCTGTTCTGTTCTGTTCTGTGAGTAAATAAGAGCTGTTTGAAGAATTGCTGTGTCGTCTGATATGTTCACCCACAACTTAACAGGAACAATGGGAGTTTTGAACACTGATGTGAAGGTAGTGAGGGCAAAAAGTTGGTTACCGGTTAATATTGCACTTTTGGATCCCACCTTCATTTCCTTCTCTATCTAAGAATCAACCTGGGCATTTTGGTTTGGGGGATGAGAATATATCCCTGCTACTACATTACCCTTCAGGTCTGGTATCGTCACCTAGAGCAATTCTGCAGGAGTCCGCTATTTGGGGGATCTGTAGCTTGTTGGACTCCCATGTTCTCGTTGATATGCAGATTGATATTACCTCCAATACACCCTTCCCGGTCCTCCATATAAAATTTATATCCATAAATAATCACAAGCCTGCCTTTCATCCAAATGACCTCATTGCTATTATTGTCTATGTTATGTGTGCATTGCAGGAGATGGGGGGGGTTCTTTATAGCTTTATTAAAATAAAAAAAGTTGTGTGTTTTTGATATGGGTTTTAAAATGCCACTGTAGCCGACCAAAAGTCCAGAGGTAACATTATTATCAATTTACAACGGGGTGGGAGGTTCGCAGGCTATGAAGGACTTGCTCACAAATTGATTGACAGCTGTACAAATTAATATAGCTAGGAAGTGAAAGGGGCAAGCAGAATATAAAATGGAAGAATGGTGTAAAGAGGTGTGGGATATAGCTATTAACGATAAATTAACATGTGCCATTAAGGTAAGACGGGGAATATGCAGGAGAAATGATTTTGAGGAGATATGGAAGGTGTTTGTAGAATTTGTACTGTTAAAATGGAAAAGGGGTCAAACCATCACAATTTTGGGAGGTTGGATAGTTACAATGGAATGGTCTCTGTGGTGGGGTGCACATTTTTTATTCATATTTATTTATGATTATTACTTTGTAAAAAATAAAATTATAAAATAAAAATGCCATTGCAGTGCGCGGTGGTGGGTGTTCCTCTAAAGCAGGCATGGCCAACTTGTGGCCTTCCAGAGATTGCTGAACTACACTTCCCATCAACCCCTAGCAAGCACAGCCAATGGCCAGGGATGATCAGAGTTGTAGTTCTGCAACATCTGGAGGACCAAAGGTTCCCTACATTGGCTTTAAAGCATAGCAGCATAGGAAGCTGCCTTATATTGAACCAGACCATTGATCCATATAACACAGTACTGTCTGGCAACAGCTCTCCAAAATTTCTGGCAGGAGTCCCTCCCAGTGCTTACCTGGAGCTGCCAGGGCTTGAACCTGGACCTTCTGAGCTACATCCCTTCAGCAGCAGTGCTTCTGATTTTGAAAACAGCAGTCACGCGTCTTGTATGCTTTTGAGTCTTATGAGGTTCCATAGCATTTATTCCTAGGTAAATGTAATAGAATTGCAGTCTTAAATACGTGTTGTGAGTTGGAAAACAGATGTTTCTGGAGGTTATGAGATACGGCGGCTTTCCTTGACGTATACCCTTCATCAACTAAGTGCAGAAAAGCACACATGGGCAGCTTGTTATGGAAAGATAAGAATATAAATTCACCAGTAAGGACAGGAGGAAATCTCCAGCCCTCTCCTATGGGAACAAGCCCCAATATACTCTATTAGCTTTGAACAACTGAGTGGCAACTAAAATGAGCGGAACTGTTGTTAGTAACCTGTTTCCATGCAGCAGAAGGAAGCACTGTACTGCAGCACGAAAGGAGCCCAGGAGGCTAGCTTATTCCACGTCAGGCCTTCAGTGAATATATCCCATTATTGGCTGTAGTGGCAGCTCCAGAACGCAGGTGGTGCTGTGGTCTAAACCACTGAGCCTCTTGGGATTGCCGATCAGAAGGTTGGCGGTTCGAATCCCCGCGACGGGGTGAGCTCCCGTTGCTCTGTCCCAGCTTCTGCCAACCTAGCCATTCAAAAGCACACCAGTGCAAGTAGATAAATAGGTACCCCTGCGGCGGGAAGGTAAACGGCGTTTCCATGCAC